GGACGCCCTCCCTGCCGGGACGCCCTCTCCCGGACGCCTGTCCTGCCGGGACGCCCTCTCCCGGACGCCCTCCCTGCCGGGACGCCCTCCCCAGCCAGTGCGCTCACCTCCCGCAGCTCCAGCCTCTGCGCCACGGCCTCCAGGCACTCCTGCCCTGTGCTCTCCACCGACAGCGTGCACTCGATGACGTTGCTGTCCAACAGGCGGATGCGCGTGACGAAGCAGTTCTTGCTCAGGACGTTGTAGCGCCGGGTCCGGCGGAGCTTCAGGCCGAAAGGCATGGTGCCGGGCCCCGAGGCGCCGCCCCTCTCCTGGTGCCCTGGTCCCCGAGCTGGCCTCAGCGGGGCTGTGAGGTGCGGACGACGCGCCTGGCCGCGCTCCTCCAGGGGCGGAAGTCAGCATCCATGCCCGGGGGCGCCCGGCGGGGTCACTGCGAGCGGAAAGCAGGGCAAGGTCATTTGCAAGGTCACCGGCTGCAAGGGAAGCCGAGGCTGGAGCTGGTGGCCCATGACTGGGAGGAGTCCACCCACTTCCTCCTATCTTTGGGGTGGAACGATAAAATCCACCTGACAGCTAGAAAGCTGAGGTCCAGAGAAACCCACAGAGCTCATCCTGGCAAAGGCAAGGCCGGAGCACTGACCGCTGGCCATGTAGCCCGGGTCACATTTGGCTCTGCAGGAAGGAGCAGAATCTCCAGCCTCACCATTTGCACTCTGAAATAAATTCTCATTGCAGGGTCATTATCAAGCCTCTGGGGTAGGTTCTACAATCCCTGCTTCACAGAGGGAGAAAGAGGGGCTCAAGGTGGACAGAAGGATCTGAGTCCTCGGTCACTCTGCGACAGGGCTCTCTCCTCCCGGGCCATCGTTTGCTTTTACTACTCTATATTTTTTTATACACAAAGAGACACCCCCCTCGGGCTCTCCCAGGTGGCACAGCAGGTGAACGCACCCCATCATGAGGCTGTTTGAAGCCCCTGCAGCACGAGCTGGATCTCCGGCCAGGGAGTGACCCACGTGGTGCGGCATTGTCTTAACAACTATAAACTGGAGATACGGAGGACCCAGCCGGCCCCCTCTTGGGCTGTCGACCCACAGAGTCTAAAACCCCAGAAACCCAGGCACTCCCAAGGCAGCCCTCGCCCACAGCATCCCCCCGAGTTCCTGCCCCTTGCACAAAGGAACATGAAAACCTGCTCATCGGGATTCTTGATTTAATGAATGAAATCTATGCCCAGCTGCCCCCAACCCACCCTCTCACAGCCCTCCCCACCACACCGCCCCCAGTGCATCAGGCCAGGCCAGGCCGGTGTCTCGCAGGGGACACACACCTGCAGGGATGGGCCCGGTAAGAGACATTTTTGAATCCCCGTGTGTTGGCCAAGGATCCTGTTTCCTGTTAACCTAAGATGGGCTGTGGAGTGTGTGGCAGGTCCCACCCCCTGTGGTGAGCACCCCCAAGGGGTCCAAGCCAGGCAGAGGCCACTACCAGCCCTCCCCCACCCTCACCCCACCCCCACAGAGAGCCTTGAACTGCCAGACCAGAGGAGGGCCTTGCGGGAGCTCCATGCAGCCCTGCTCTGCCCTGGGCGCCGGACCAGGGTGGCTCTGGAGGCCACTCACTCGTGCAGCGAGCGCCCTTCCTGATGGAAATAAACAGCAAAGTGCTTAACAACAGCCAGAAACAAAGGAAACACACCCAGACAGTGGACAAGTGTGCATCTCACTCACATTCCCGAAAACTCTTGCTTTCTAGTTCGGCCATTTCTAAATTGTTCGAGGAGTTTCCAGCTGCCTTATAGGGTTTCTGCCGATGGAAAGGACCTGAGAGCAAGGCAGTTTAGGAGCAAGGGCTTTGGGGGCAGCTTTTAGGAAATCCCCAACTGTTTAAGTGGGTTTGAAAACCTCCAAAGTCTTCCATGGGCAAACTCACCAGATAAGGAAGGTGTCAACAAATTAAACAACAGATCCAGTCCCTGCAAAAGTTAATTAACCGAAACGGAGATGGAGATGACGAGGAGGACTGGGGGAGAAGATACTTGGAAGTTATAAAAACAAAGGCCACAAAAAGTAAACAAAAGATAAAAACAAAGGGCTGCGTGTGAATCTCAGTCAAGTCGGGGCTGGAAAAAGAACAAGCTCTGAAAAGAAAGACCTGGAACTGAACCAGACAATACTGATGTAAGAGGATCCTCTCCTCCACTTTCTGGTGGTGGGACTGGGGTGGGTGGGATGCCTGTAACCTCCAAATTGTAAAGGTAACAACAGCCATCAGCTCACACAGCAGAGAGACTCGCTCCGCTGACTCGAGTGTTGTCCACGTGGGCGGGTGGGCACTGACTTTCTCTTCTCTGTGTACCTGAGCAGTCACCCCGGCTCATCTCCACAGATGAACGGTGGCGAGAGCTAATTCTGATTCTGCCCCTCCAGACTGAAGTCCCGCTCTCCCACTTTTAACACACATCCTTGACCTTGAAGGCAGCTCAGGGCATTCACCCCAGAACTCACTGAGCTGCGGGGAGTACTTGCAGGTGCTCACTGAAGACAGACCTTCAGGAAGGGTCCCCCCCGCCGCCCCCACACACACAGACATCACCCAGACAGTGGACAACAGCCTGGACCCAAAGACTAGGGGAGATCTTTGTCCTTTCCATAGTCTGCGAGTTAATTATCCACCATGTTTAAGTCAAAAGGACCCACAGTTCCCCCACCCCGGCATCCAATGTACAGAGCCCAGCTGCCTCAGTTTACCACTTATTCCTCCGTCCCGTCCATGATCGAGAGAGCAAGTGTTGGACTAAATAAACTGCCCCAGGGGAGGAGATATGCGTCCCCCCCACCACCTGCACCCCAGTTATCCAGTCTGGCTCCCTGCAATCTTCTGCCTCCCCCACCTGTTTCTCTAGGCTCATCATACTTATCACATCAACACAATTAAACCTACAACTGAATGCCAGGTTCTCAGAGAAAGGAGTGTGATAACACTTCAGTTTTTCCTGACGAAGCTTGTTTGTCAAGAGATAAAATTAGGGTGTCACCATTTTAGTTCCGATGCAGCTTTAACTGAAAGCGTTCTTTACGCATGCGATGCGCTTTTATAGTTCACCTGAACGTACAGGGTTAGGGGCTTCCTCCAAGATACCCAGTCAATAACATCCACTCACAGGCTGTATAAAGTGAGGGGATCTGTTAGCAAAGATGATAAACATACGATGCCGACTCTTGATTTCCCCCCCCAAGATTAACAGGAACTCACGAACATGCTCGTCCTCAATCTCTGAGGCGCATCTTAGACAGACAGATAGCGACGGACAAGCAGGTTAACTGCCAGCCTCTTCGCCGCCCTCCGCTGGCACAGGGGTCTGATGGAGGGACGGAGGCCCCACGAGGACCCTCGAGCACAGAGACCCCGGTCAGGGGCAGGGTGTCGCGCCCAGGGGTGACGGCCCCGCAATGGCCTGGTCGCCTCACATCCTGGAAGAAGGCCGGTTTTAGAACATCGCCACCCACGTTCCCCCTTTCCAGTCTAACGGTGCATCTCGGCCGGGGGAGGGGAAAAAGGTTTCATCCTAGCAAAGTTCTTCGCAGGAACAAGAGTGGGCGGGTGGTCAGCGCCCCCAAACGGCTCCCCTGCCCGATCCCACCTGTGCCTCTCGGCTGTGGACTCCCGGTAACCTACATTCCCTCGCCGACCCGTCAACAAAAGCATCTTCGAGGTGGAAAACAACAGCGGAGACAGCTTGCGCTCGCTACAGATTTCTTGCGGTGTGACGGCCCGAAGGAACCTCTCAGCCTGAGCGCGAGATGCGGAGAACGTTCCGTGGCCATCACCCAAATGGCGCAGCCCCACTTGAACTCCCTTGAACTCCCTGCGTTTCGGCCCCCACACCCGCCCAGTGCGCGTGCCCCGTGTTTCCCCCCGAAAGGGAAATCGCCCAAGAAGCTAACTGCTGCTCGCACGCACGCTGTCTTCCTCACACTCCGTCTCGGAATCGCCCAGCTCACCTGTCGGGGCTCCCAAGGGCACCTCCGGGTGACGGGGCCCCACCTGCTGGGCCCGACGCCGCCTCCCCGTGGGGTAGGAGGGAGGGAAAGCAGGACAGGCTGGACAGGCCCCTCTGACCTCCGTGAAGAACAGCAGACAGGAACTGGGTCTTCCTGGGTGAAACGGCGACTGTCCTGGCCCTCCCGGGTGGCCCCCCAAATCGGTGCAGGCCCATCCCGGCCCCAGAGGGGACCCCCAGGGCGCAGCAGACCCCACCTGTCTCCCCGCTGCTCCCCTCAACAGTGGACTTTGTCCAGCTTCCTGTCCCGCTCCCCACTCTGCCTCTGGCGAGTCCTGTCACCCCCCTGCACCTCTGGCCTGCACCCCAGTTCTGTGTGCATCAAGAAATAAACCTTTAAAAAATAGTAAAAATTTAAAAAGCTAAAAATGGAACTGTGCCACCCAGCAGCTCCCCTCCCTGCAACGCCGGACGCCACCGTCTCTTAAAACGCCGGACACAGAAGCTGGACACTGCCCGTGGGCGGGGCTGAGGAGACGCAGCCGGTCCATGCAACATGCCCCGTGACGGGGCAGAGACGAGGGGAGAGGAGGAGGCTGAAACATGCAAATTTTAAAATTTAAAAAAAAAGAGAGAGAGATAAAAAACTAGCAGAGATGCAGGCTTGACCCGGCTGGCCGGGGCTGGCGGGGCGGGAGTGGGGTGGGGGCAACGTCAGGGCTCGTCCGTCTGGTGCAAATTTCCTGTCCAGAAAGTGGTTGTTTTTTTTTTTAATATTTATTTATTGATGCACACAGAACTGGGGTACATGCCAGAGTGCAGGGGCGGTGAGAGGACTCACCAGAGGCAGAGCGGGGAGCAGAACAGGCAGATGGACGAAGTCCTCTGCTGAGGGGAGCAGCGGGGAGACACAGGGATCTGCGTGCCTGGGGGTCCCTCCCTGGCGGGGGAACTCGTGCTGCGGTGGCTGTGGACAGCTTCATGGTGCTGCGCTTTACCCCTGCCCCACCAGGGACGGCCCTGACATAATGATTTGCAATAAGGAACCCTCCCCGAAATGGCGCTTTCTTTGCAAAGTCACCTGAGCAAACAGGCCCCAGCGCCCACCTGCAGGTCTGTGTCCAGAGCACAGGAGTGGGGGAACCTCCCCTCGGGAGATGAGTGGGCACAGCCCACTCGATCGGGACCCCTGAAGCGGCTTCCTTCTGCAGGAAGCCCAGCCTTTCCAGCACGCAGGTAAGATATGGGGAGACCCCGCCTGGGGAGACCCCACCTCGCCCCACCCACAGCTCCCTGGGCAGCGCCTCTGTCCAGGGCAGCACTGAGCCATCAGTCCCCAGAGCCCGGCGCT